AACCATTGTTATAGGAGCGGTGAAACAAAATCGAAAACCAACCCTTTCTTTATTTTCTTTGATTTAGAGTTTATACGTTTGTCTATTAATTTAAATAATATTCATACACATCATGTAAAAGAATATATTATGACATCCATGTTGAACTAAATATTAATTCCCATACCAAATGTTTTTTATTTTAATTTATTTAATGTTAGGAATTGATCGTTGCATTTTATCTACATGTCAAAAAATCATCTCAACTCAATAGCTTAAAATATTAAATTAGATCTCAAAATATAATTTATATTATTATCTAACACACCACCTCAAGTAAAAGCTCTTAGAACTTGAAACTTGCACAGGTCCACATTATCTTATGCTTAATTTTTTATATCAAATAAATAAAAATGGTGAAATTCAAACTCGTGACCACTTGATCATTAAGTCTCTGATACTATGTTAAAGAACCAATTCAACCCAAAACTTTAAATTGTCAAATTAGATTTCAAGATATAATTTATATTATTTTCTAACATTACACGATACTTCACAATTTTATTCAATTAGATTATTATACATATTTTGTATGTCTTCTAATGTATACTTTAACTTTTCTGTAGCAAAAAAATAAAATCCTTCATTGATTTTTGAATCATATTTTAGGCCACTATTTTAAACGTTAACATTAAGAAAAATTACAATAGAAAAACTCGATAGCATGAATATATATTTATTAAAATAATTAGAAACCATATATGCAATTTATAGCTAGTTGTTTCCTTAAAAATATTTTTTGGGTGGGAATGTCATTATAATTAAGATAAGTATTAAACTTTATCTGTTGTAATTTTTTCTATAGTTTTTCTTAAGTTAATGTTTTGGGCTCCAAACTAATAAAAGAGTTTTCCTTTCCTGTTTAATTCCAATTTGGAGGTAACCATTGAAAATATTTTTCCTTTAAATTATATATATAAAAAAATAAGGATAGGACTCTACTATAAGTAAGATATTATTAATACAATTAAGATAAAAGATATTTAATTCTTTTTTTTCTTCCCTTGCACAACATAATTAGTTTCAGAATACAACACCTTAGAATGTTATAAAAATAGAGCTCAGATCAGCCTTAGAAGAGGAGAGCAGTGGGTGTTGTATGGGAACCATAGTACATGCTGATCTGCATCCAGAATTAAGTTAGTGATAGATTGTATTAGCTAGGAAACGATAAATAGCTTGGTGGAGCTTAAACTATAATAATTAGAATTAAAAGAAAAGTTAGGAAGACAGAAAATGCGAAGGATTTGGGAGAACCATACTCACATAAAGAGATAGAATATTTAAATAATATTTTGATAAACTGTTTTGAAAAAAAAATAAACTTACAACTAATTAGATAAATATTTAACCAACCCAAGTTGAAAAGAAAAAAACATCCAAAAATAACAAAGAAAAATTTTAAAAAAAATCAGAATATATCTAGAAAAATTTATAAAAAAAAAAAAATCAACAAAGGTTGCATTTGGTTATTATTTCAGGATTCAAAAACAAAAATATTTCATGGGATATCTTTTGTTTTAGTTTGTTCTTATCTACAAATAATGTAACAGCAGGCTCTATAAATAAGTGTCTCTTGTAAATCAATGTTCTGTGAATAAAAAAGACATTCTTTTACTCTTCAAGGTTTCAGAGCCACGTGACTAGCTTCTCCTCTGATCCTCTCGCATATTCTACTTTCTCCCATGGAAGGTATTAAGCCAAATCTCAAATTCTTCATCTCAAAGCTTCCGACACTGGTGACTTTCCGCCTTCATTCAAAGAACTATATTGTCTGGAAACAACAAATTTCCAATGTTTTGGTGGCTCATGGCTGCTTCGAACATCTAGATGTCCAGCATATATAATCCATCACAAATCCAGATGCTATTCTCACACCAAATCCATTGTTTGACGAATGGAAGCTTATGGATCGACATCCTCTTGCCTGCAATCAACCATCTTAGTTGGAGTTCTTCCTAATCTTATTGGCATGCAAACTTGTCATGAGACATGGGAAGTCCTAAAGGAACACTATGCATCTGTGTCTGTAACACGTACATCAATTCCGAAACGAGTTTAAGTGAACAAGGATGGGGACCGAATCTACCACAGTCTATCTAGATAAATTAAAGGTATTAGCTGACAAACTAGCAATGATTGACTCAACAATGACAGCTTTAAAGTTTGTTCATCAAGCCTTGATTGGCTTTTGATGAAGTTGGGATTGCGATAACAGGTGATTTTGAGCAGATAAGCTAGATGAGGATCTATTCTAGACAAATTATATAAATAACCTAACAGATATATTTATGAACTAGTGGAATGGATCTAGGTCCAAAAGAAGGTCTAGACACACCAAATTAGAATAACGGCTTAAAAGAACCATAACCTTTTATTCGATCGTTAGATCACGTTTAAATATTTTTCTTTTTTAATACTATCAGAGCAATATTATACTTTAGCCTCTCATCTACATAAAAACATTTAAGAGCTATAAATAGACTATGAATCCTTTAAATAAAAGGTTTGGAATCTTCATTCACTACTGTATATTTATTTTCAGAGTATCTCTATGTAATATTATTGCATTTTCTCTCAAAAAATTACTAACTTGATTATCAGAGAGTCCCTAAATTCACCAAATGTGATCTTTTGTAGGTATCAAACACCTACCTTCAATCACCTCGGCTAGGAAGAATGGATCTAATTGTCAAAACCAAGAGATTAACTGATTATCTAAAACATAAGTCTTACCCTCAAGCTACTTTGATTTTTTAAAACATCATCAGGATCTTTTATAGACATCAAGCACCCACTTTTAGCCATCTTAGCTAGAAAGAATAGATCGAATTACCAAAATCAAAAGATTAACTGATTGCCCAACACCCCCCAAGCTACTTGGATTTTTTGGATCATCATAATTGGTGTTGTCTGTAAAAACTGATCAAAAAGTCATGAGTTTCTTTCTAACAACATCCCCAAGTCATTCCATAACACATTTGGGCTAGAATGCTTATGGGTCTACTTGTTACCACAAACTTTTGCCCATTCAAACTTTCAATAACTTATCAACCAAGTACAACCCATCACTTAGGTTGTGTTGGCTGTTTTGCCATCTCAACAAATCTTGGCACTTGCAGAATCCTCATCCTTGAAAGAGATTGATCAGGGGTCTCTCTAGTGCAATAGCACCACTCTCAAAATAATGGATCAAAGGACTCCCTAGAGTCCAACAAATCACCTCATGATATATTATCATTGATAAGAAGTAAGTTTATTTTTAAATTAAAATAATTATCTCTCTAATATGTATTCTTTATCTATAGATCTTCAACAAAGGCTTCTAGAATTTAACACAATCTCCTTGAAAGAGGTTTTTCTTAGTGTGATAGCTCCACCCTCCATGATAGCTTGAGATAACCAACCTCAACAAAACAAGAGGGCCCCCATCCTTTAACCAAATATATATCACCAAGGCTAACTAAAACCTAAAGAACTAACATAACTCTCTAGATAGACTCTTGAATCTTATGCTATTTCTAGGGATGATCTCTAATCTCCCACTCTTAAGTTTGGTCCCTCTTTCTAGTAGGAGGTTCCCACTCCTTATGTCATCGCCAAGGAGGCCATAGGCCTTTAACTCTTAACAAAATGCAATAACTCTCCAAGAAAAGAATTGACTTGGTCTTCTCAGCGCAATAGCACAACCCTCTTTAAGTTCCCCTCTGCCCCTTAGAAAGTTTTATAAGTATGAACATTGACATGGGTTTGTCCCCTCCACCTCTTAGGAATTTTCCAAGTATAGGTGTCGATTGAGATTCGTTCACCTCAGCCTCTTAGAATATTTTCTAAATATTGGCTAACCCTCCTTAGATTCCCTCATGCCTCTAAGAAAAATTTTTAAGTATGGACATTAACCTGGGTCTGTCCCCCTTGTCCCTTGAGAATTTTTCAAGTATAAGCATCGATGGGGATTTGTTCCTCAGCCTCTTAGAAAATTTTCTAAATATAGGCTTTTTTTTCTTACGTTCCCCTCAGCTACTTGAAAATTTTCTAAACACAGACTCCACTTTTCATGGATTTCTCTCAACCTTTCAGAAAACTTTCTAAATATAGGCTCACCCTCTTTAGGTTTCTCTACTTATTAAAAAAATTTTCTAAGCATGAAATCCTATATGGTTTCACCTCACCCTCTTAGAAAATTTTCTAAGTATGAATCATTCATGATTCACCTTTACATATTTAAAAAAAATTCAAACATGTGGTATCCCCTACACACAAGCTCTCGGGTATATAAATTGAGGTTTCCATTATGTTTCTCATACAAAATAAAATTGACAAACTCATTGTAACAGATATTTTTACAAGTTTTTGCATATAAATATTACAAAGACTTGGGAAGCTATTAATAAACTCAAATTTAATAGCTAAAAAAAACCCCATAAAACCGAACATTTATTAAGCTCAACTATATTTTGTATTTATTTTTCAAAAACCCATTAGTTGTATAAAAGTTCTTTAAAAACCCACTATATTTTCATCAATATTAATATTATATTAAAAATAGTTTGTAAGAATTTTTTAAATAGTCCATATTTTTATTCTATATCAATACATGTATCAAAGATATAAATATCTCTTTGTAACACATATGTTAGTGATTTTTTTTTTAATATTATTAGAACAATATTACTTTTTAATCTCTTATCTTTATAAAAAAATTCATAGATTATAAACAAACCATAAATTATTTAAATAAAAAGTTTGAAATATTTATTAATTTACAAAGTATTTTTTATGATATTGTTGCATTTTCTTTTAAAAAAATCATTAACTTGATCGTTGAAAGGTTCATAAATTCACCAAAGAAAATCTCTTACAAATATCAGGCACCCGCCTCTAAATATCTTGACTAAAAAAATGAATCGGATTATCAGACTCAAGACATAAAATTGACCCCAAAATACTTAAATTTTTTAAAACATCATCAAAAACCAAATCCCATGACATGGAAATTGAACTCTTCCCGTAAGTAAAATGGAAAAGTGAATACCATCTCAATAACCATCCAGTAATTTATAAAATTATCCAGTGTCCATGTTCTCTGAGTTGGTCTTGCATTGTCTCGTAATACAAAAGCAGACTTTTAGACAACATGTCAAATCTATTTAGATTCAAGTCTCTGCCATTCCACGATCGCCAAAGTATGGCGACCTCCGCAACCAACAAGTTTAGCAATCCAGTGTCCCTCGTCTCCATTGTCACGAAAATTTTTAGGTGGCGGGATGTCTATTGGCACTTCCATTGGTTGACCTGTAGTCACCTTTCTCCCATATCCAAGTCGTCCATGGTCACCTCGACCAAACTGCCAGAAAATCCGGTCAGCATATATTACTACTCAATGTTAAAACAAGTTGTTTGCTGAGAAAGTGGTAAAAAGTGCAAATATTTGTGTACCTATGTACGTGTGTTTAAGTTTCCATGCAGGCAAAGATATTAGAGAGAGAGAGAGAGAATATGCATCGATGCAGATAAGGAATCAACCCCTATGATGAACAAAAACTGCACTCCACCCATATATGATGCCATTGCCATTGGAATAAATAGAGCTGATTATACTTACGGAAAACATCTGCCCATCACGTGTCAACGCAACTGAATGAGTCCCGCCACAAGATACCTGGATTGCAAATAAAACCAGTTCAATCTTGAACCATGGGAGGATATTACACTGGTTAACCATATCAAGCTAAAAAATACCAATTCAGTTTTCTCTCTTTTACAATCAATTACAATAATGAGAATTGTCACAACAAACTAAAATATATGCTTCAAATACAGGGCATCACTAGAAATTATATTAAAAAAACAGAAGGCATGCATGTCCTCATCAAACAGTTCCCAGAGTTCCTAAAGCTCCTAGCAAGAGTTGAGGGAACCTACTGTCAAATCTGAGTAATTGCTCTTCAATGATTAAGTATTACTATTAACAATATACTATGATCACTGAAATTAATGCATCCAAATCCAGAGATTACTTGGTCACTGAAATTAATGCATCCAAATCCAGAGATTACTTGGCCCCGTGAATGTGTGAGCATGTAATCCAGTCATGTACTTCGGGGAAATGGTTCCACCATTAACTTCAATGCCAAGTTGAGTTTGAAGTCAAAATTCACCAAATGCTCAACATCCTCCCGAAAAGACCTTACATCATTTAGTATATTAGGGCCACAAAAGATTAGCTTAATTGTTCAATATCAACGAGCATTCTCAGGAAACATATCATGCATATTCTGTAGAACTTAGTAGTTTACAATCCTATGCACACATGACAAATAAAAGGAATTGCAAGTTTGGGTTAACAAAGCCAAAAAATTGTATTATATACCAACCGTAAATAAGAATTTCCGAGAGTTCCCAAAAGCATATGTTGATGATACCTGAATAATGTCCTCCCCAGCTAAAAGATTAACCTTTTGGGGGACCATTTTACTGCTCTTGTCATTATCTCCAAATCCCAATCTTCCGTGTTCACCTCTTCCCCAACCATACACCTGCAATAGAAGACAGGTATTAAGCAAAAAATTATTTTCAACCCGAATAGTAAAGACAAAGAAAACCAGATCAGATCAGGTGACATATGTAGCATATGCAACAAGAAAGGTAACACCTGATTCGCCTTAAAAACAAAATCAGAAGGAAGCTAGGTTTAAGTTCTGTTGGTATGACTTGCAAATTAATGGAGCCAGGCTTGTAGATACAGGCAGTTCTGAGTATTTAAATGATGATCTAACATTACTAGACAGGAATCTAAACTAGACATACTATGTCGATGGTCTAATAGATGTTTTTATGGACTAGTGGGATAGATCTAGATCTAAGAAAAGATTTGGAACGGCCAGATCTGATTAGCTCTTTAAAACTGTGATAATGGAAGATTTGTTTGTTATATTGGGCTCAAATTTTTAAAGTGATGCTATAGACAATTTTCTATAGGACAACCACTGCGTCACTGAACAAACAGTCAAATCTTTTAGAATTGTGTTTTATGCTTCAAATATGACAGTTTTTATTATTTTTCCTATGTTTTTTCAGATTTTATGTTTTAATTCAGATTATTTTTTGTTTATTTCCTTTATATTTTCAGATTCCTAACTACCTTCTAGTTAAGATAGGGTTTTCTGACCTATTTAAATATCTTACAAACCTCTTAAAGAGGCAACCACCGTATGCTTTAATTTTCAAAGGATAAAGTTGTGAATTCAAGGTTTACATCTGAAACCCTCTTTGCACATTAAGTATCTTATGTCTTTTTCTTGTGATTTCATGTTGTTACTGTCATACGTAGCTTCTGCCTGCATTAATTCGTATCAAGGTCTAACAATCCCAGGTTTTATATTGCTTGTTGTGTGCTGCAATTTCTTGGATAATTGTTTGCTTGTTGTGTTCCACTAAATAACCATGGTGAGAAGAGGTCGTGGAGTGGGGCATGTCCAAGGGGAGGATGAGCCTCATCCTCCCCTTCGAGGAGAAAAGTCCAGGAGCTCATCATGGAAAACATGCAGAGACATATCACATAATTGACTCGTAGACTAGAAGAGAAAGAGAAATGTGAACAGACCCAGGAGAATGATCACGGGTCCTTGGGTAGTACTTAAAACCCAAAGGCTCAAACAGAGAAGACAATCTCATGATAGGGAAGTGGTCAGAATTGGAAATTTCAAGTTTTGCATCAAAATCCCTACGTTTATTGGAACCTTACAGACATACAAGTTTATAAACTAATTGAACAAAGCTGGGAGGATTTTTTAAGTATAAGGAGGTTCCTAAGCAAACGCAAGTTAAATTAATCACAATCAAATTGAAAGGTCAAGCATCTACCTGGTGGTAACAGTTGAAGAAAACACGGGAGAGGCAAGGAAAATTGAAAATCAATGTCTAGGATAAAATAAAGAAGATGATGAGGAAGCAATTCCTTCCTTTCAATTATTCTCAAACCCTATACCAGAGGCTTCACATGTTGGCATAAGTTTGTCAATGATTACACTAATAATTTCTACTAGTTAATAGCTTGGAATCTAGAAGAAACAAAAAAGCAGTTAGTTGCAAGGTATTTAAGTGGTCTAAAGCAGTCTATAAGGTGTCTCCAATCTTTATTAATAGTTTTTAAAGCTTATCAGAGAGCCTTAACCGTAGAGAAACAGCAGGCTGCTAGGACTAGGAGTATAAGTTTCCAAGTGGATTAGAATAATATAGGCGGGCATATCAATAATCAAAAGGCTACCACCACACAACCTAGGCCAACTCAGCAAAATCAATAGGCATCGGGTCAAGGTTCCGGTTTTAGAATTCATTGTTGCAGATGTGGTGAACTTGAGCATCAGGCTAGCAAGTATAGTAAAGCAGAGAGTTGCCCTAGGAAAAAAAAAATTTGAAATGGCCAAGTCTAGTTAGCTCCTTAAAACTACAATAACAGGAGATCTAACTGTTGGATCGAACTCAAATTTTTACAAGTAGTTCTACGAGGAATTTTCCCTAGGGTAACCACTATGTTGCTAAACAGACCATCATCTACCCGCATCAATTTGAGGGGGGATGTCAATATATTCTCTTTTATTTCATTTTTTTAATAGCTATTAGTCTTTCTTTTGTAGCTGTCAGTATATTCTCCTTTTCTTATTCTATTTCTTTCATAGCTGTCACTATATTCTTCTTTCTTTGTTTAATTTCTGTCATAGCTGTATATCCCTGGATTCTCTCTAAAGATCTCAATTATTGTCTAGGCCTAGTATTAAAGAATCTGATTATGTTTATTAGATGCTAGAATTAAGGGTTTTGATACTTCTTGATGTATATATATATTGTAACTCTCTTAGTGAAAGGGGGACAGAAAACATTTCAGAATTTCTCTTGTATTATCTTGTCACATATCTTTCAGAATCATATTCTAGGCACTTATGCTCCTGGTATGACAGTTTTTATTATTTTTCCTATGTTTTTTTTTTTAATTCTATGTTTTAATTCAAGTTTTTTGTTTACTTCCTTTATGTTTTCGGATTCCTAGTTGTTTCCTAGTTGAGATGGGGTTTTCTTACCCATTTAAATATCTTGTAAACCTTTTAAAGAGACAATTACCATATGCTTTAATTTTCAAGTAATAAAGTTGTAAATTCAGGTTCACATCTGCAACCCTCTTCACTCATTAAGTATTATGCATCTTTTTCTTGCAATTTCATGTTGTTACTGTGCTATGTAACTTCCGCCAACATCACAAATTAATTTAAGTTGTTTTTATCTTTTGACTCAAGAAAAGTTATAAATATGTTTTATTAGAAATAACTTTTGACTTTCATCAAAAAAAATCCTTACAAAATTGAGTCAAGATTTTGCATTAAAAATTTTAAACTTCCAACTAATTGATTCTAACTTGTACCGCTTCCCTTCATCAATAAAAAGTTGCTTTGTGTTAATTTTTGTCAAACATCTTCACTTCTTTTTTTCATAAGCTATTTAAGAAACATAGCTTTTGAATCATGGCTCAAAATCAAAAATAATTTCCCACAAGTCATGTCAAGCGGAGCCTTATTCACAAAGCAATGGATACAGTTCCCATACTGAATCCAAGGATGCGTCTCTTATTTATAATCAGCAAGATCCAATTCAAGCATCATGAAAAAGTCAGAGAAGAGAAAGGGTTTATATATGGCCCGAAAGCCAATAGCTAAAAGCAAACTCTTTAACCTAAGAGACAAGCCTTTTTAAGATTGATACAAGTGGATTTTCTGACCCTAAGCTCGGAAAGATCTGCCACACAAAGTAGCTTTTAACTTTGAGTCATAATTCGGAAGTTTTTTCTCATAGACAACGTACGACAAAAATAAAGTTAAAATGACTTTAAGTTAGAAGTATGTTTGTTAAGACTTGAAAGCAACTCTTTTGAGGAAGACATGTAATATACCATAAGTTAAATATTAAAAAATTTGACTTGGATTTGTAACTAACTTTTGATTTTAGTCAAAATATGATTCTATCCAAATATATCTGTGAGGGTCAAAAATCAAGAAAAACAACTTGAATCAATTTGCAAAAATCATACCAAACATAACCCACATGAATAAAACATAAGCTGACGATGAAAGTACAGAACTGAAGGAACTTCTCTGCTATATACAATGTTGCACCTGAACAGGTTATAATAATGACAAGCGTGCGGTCAACCTAATTAAAGAAACTTTTAGACATCAAAGAGCATATTTACCTCCCCATCATCAGTCAATGCAGTAGAATGCCATCCACCAGCAGCAATATCAACCTAGACATACACTCAGGCTATTATAGATATGAAACTGAAATCAAGCTCAAAATGTCTAAGAAATTAACAAGAAAGAAAACAGATCATTCCATATCACCAATCTCAGTGCATATTAGCGTAAGCCTTTATAAGAAGTTAACAAGTTTACAGTGCAGATTCTCTGCATCACTGAGTAACACGAGTCTTCACTCCCCTTTTATAAGCTTTCATGTTTACACTGCACTAAATCGAACTATTGTACCTTGATCATGCCAAGGCACTACACATGGGGCACTCTCAGACTGGATGATGGCAGTGTTTTCATAGAAAGGTTTCAAACAACCAGTTATAAAAAATGACATATTTTCAAAGGATTTATTCAGATAATCTGGGAAGAAGAATTTTCAAAAATAAACTTGAATTGGGAACCCATTCATCAATAAATCCTAACACTTCAGATGAGATTTTTTGAGAAACTGTATTGTGCAGCTAACGATGCCTAATGAAATGGAATAAAAACAGAAGTCAAGCAGAAAGGGACGTAAGGATGTAATACAAACCAAATTGAGACCAGAAAGTCCTTGGACAAGAATAGGTTGTGATCTTGGCTGCGTATCACCAGTTCCGAGCTGTCCATATTCATTATTACCCCACGCCCATAAAGTTCCATCTTCTTGAAGAGCTAAATTATGAAATGCCCCAACAGCAATGAGCCTCACTCTTTCAAGACCTTGTACCCGCACAGGGACAGATATCTGCTTTCTGAAAATATGAAAAACTGTAAATGGTTAAAACAGCAATAATATGAGGACGCAGCAAGCTATCAATATAAGCACACTTCAAAAACATGTAGCAAGGACCAGAAACAAGGATATGTAAAAACATAATTGATGATTAAGTCAAGGAAACTGTACATGTCTCCAGGAGGCCATGGTTGACCCCAGCTCCATACATGCCCTTCACGTGTGAGAACCACAGAGTGAGTACCCCCAGCAGCTACCTAAAAAATATTAGCAATTAGAGATGACATATCAGCAATTAGAACAGACAGAAAAGCAACTGAGGGCCAAGAAATGTCATTTAACATACAAGTACAGTCACAAATATAGAAGGGATGTAAGTGAAAAAATTTCTGAGTTGTACGCATGCTTGTCCAAAGTTGCTATGATCCATAAAACCGATACTTAAGGCTTATGCCTCAGTGAGTAAGATGCCACCAGCACGGGGGGGAAAACGACTCCCTGATGCTGGAATAGAATTTAAGAAGCAGGATTACAACTCATGCGTGCACTCTAACATCTCAAATACCGTTCTTGAGTATTCATGTCACTCTAAGGTTGTCGGTCAGCTTTCTTGGCTTATAGCATGCAGCCGAAGGAGGAAGTTACATACTATTAATATTGACTTAATTAATGCCTTGAAAAATAAGCATGCACAGTTAACCATCCTCTTCTACAATATCATTCGGAGAGCAAATACAACCCACACAAGGAAAAGGGGATGAAATTAAGTACAAATGGTAGATTCCTGAGTATTCATTTGTACATAATAACCAAGGAGACAATCTGAAACCATATTCATATTTCATACAGCTTGGGAGGTGCTGGGGAAGATATTGAAATGGATTCCTTAAAAATAATTCAACTCCTGCACTCTATAATGATTGATAGAAAAGAAAATCACCTGGCGAACTGCAAGTTTTGATGCACAGCGTTGGGGGATGACTATGTCCCTTCTCAAAGGCCTCCCAGTTTCATTTTTCCTCTCAGGTTCTTCACCACACTGGCCATATTCATTCCCACCTACATTGTTAAAAATATATCATACTGTTAAATTCATTAGTTCTTCCACTTATTTATGAACATTGAGTGAACAAACTACATTCATGAGAAGGAAGAAAGTATGAACATGAATTTTCATTCATACAAAAAAACAAAATCATTGTATTTTCTGCAAATTTTTTCTTTCATGCAGGAATTAACCAAACCAAGTAATGCTATTCAGATACAGGGAAAAAACCTCCTTGTTATCTCAATGATTCATTCTTATAAGCAGACAATGAGATGATTAATTCAAGAAAAAAACTAAAAGGGGATCATTACATACCCCAAGAATAAGCACGTCCTTGATCATCAACAGCCAAACAATGCCAGCCACCAATAGCCGCCTGATAATCAAGAAACTCAAAATATTGGAACAAAATGATTGACACACAGACTTATACACACACGAACCGATTGCATAACCAAAGAGAAGCATAATCATCATGGTTTCCAAAAAAATAACCAAAGAAAAGATATTACCTGAACAATGTTGACATTAGCAAGAGCCTTGACCTGGCTAGGAATGTTCTCAGTCTTGGTCTCCGGTGGATGCCCTAATGTCCCTCTTTGGTTCCAACCCCAAGTAAACAACTAGCAATATCAATCAAAAAAAAAATTTCAAAAAACCAATTTACATTAACACCAACATATTGTAAACCAAAAAAAATGCTGCATGCATAAACAAAAGTGTCCTCAACAATTCATTCAAGTTGAGCTTCTTCTTTTTTTATTCTTGACTCAGTCCAAATCAATAACAAGTCAATAAATCTAATCAAGTTATTTAATTACTTTAATCCAAATAAATTCCAGGGTTATTTCACTAAAAAAAATTCAACTACTTTAATCATCAGTTACTTAAAAGGACTTAAAATTTAAAACTTTACTATAAGTCAAAAGGCTGAACTTTCAATCATTATTTTTTTACTAGAAGCTAATAAGACAACTTAAATCAAATTTTTACCATTGATATCAAACAAACTATTCAGTGCATACTAGTATTCTAGCTAAAGCCAAGGAAGGGTAAGAAAAATAAAAACCTTGCCATCATCACAAATGGCAAGAGAGTTGCGACTTCCAGCAACAACAGAGCGAACTTTGTAAGGCTCGAGAGCTTCGACAACGCAAACCCATTCATTGTCTTCGTTGTTCCCTATCCCTAGTTGGCCATCCTCGCCCGATCCCCTGTTTCATATTTCACAAACAAAATAAAACCGAAAACATTGCCATGATTTTACTTGTACACGTGTTTTATACAGTTAACAGTGAGAGAGGATGCTTACCAGGCAATCACAGAGGACTCGGTTGCCATTGGAGAGAAAGCGACTAAGAAATAAGTACGTGGGTGTATTTATAAAGAGGAGATTTTTTGAAGGGTTTTTGGAGCTAGTGGTGCCAGTGGGGGTTTTCCCTTTTTCCCTGCCTATCGCCTTGTTTATGCGAGGTGAATTGGATTCGGCAAGTGGTCTAAAAAGCTTTAGCCAGAACCGTAGTTTAGTGGAAATGGACAACCTTGAGGTTCCCTTTTTGTGGATTTGTAGGCTAAATTTACTTGTCATTTTCCAACACGATTTTAAGATGCCAGCCATTGTAACATCATCTACAACCCTACTAGATCTGGTAATGGATTTCCCATGTTTTTTAAAATGCTTTTTCATGAAATAAAAAATTAATCAATTTCAAAGCACAATGAAGAAATTCAAAAAATTAATCCATTTCAAGCCATGGCAAGGCTCTACTCTCTACTTTGTCCTTTTCCCTTTCAGTTAAGCTCTTTACAATGACACGAACAAATTGCTCGTCCACTTGGCATTCTCTGGAAGTCCAACTTGGTCGAGTTGAATAAACGCCTATACATTCAATTTTAATCATCCACAGTTAGACACCGTCGGACCTAGTTACTTTGGAGGGAAGATGCTTGATGTTCTGATGACCTAAAGGAGGGAAACTGATTCGGTAACTTACATAATTCCTGTTCTGTTGTACTACAACCCCCTAAAGGTGTTTCTGATAAACCAAACGGGGCTCTGAATGCTTAAAATTCGAAACCAGTAGTTTCGTCACTGATGTAATATCATATAGCAGAGCCAAAAGGAACACAGAATTGGAAGATGAAAATCTCATAAAAACATCAACCCAGATTGTAGGCATCAATACTAAAAACTTGATAATCTGTTGGTACATTTCAATCCCAAGTACTGTGGCACGGCAATCAAGATTATCAAATTCATTAATAAATCCAACTACAACAACCCACAGGCGTCTGTAAATTTCACAAGATAGAAGTACAGAGTGCAAATATCCTATGAACTGAACTTCATCACTGCGGCCCCTCGCCCGATTCACGTTTTGATGCTTCCTTGATCTCATCCCCGGCATCATCCTAAAATTGGAATAATGAACACATCAAGCATAACCGGAATAATATAAACTAGAAGCCTTTGAAAGTTACAAGCAGTTGCTCATGCATAAGCAGCATCAGGTGAAAACCACCCAAGACCATTTCTAATATCATACTCTGCTTAGGTCTCTCATAAGATGCCCTATAACTTTAAACAATGATGAATTGTGATATTAAAAAAAGGGCCTAAACAAGCCAACATAAACTGGCAACCGTAACATACAGTATCAGGCATAATTTGCCTTTGAACTTGAGAGAATGTTGTCAACTCTGTCCACTCAGGTAGTGATCGTTGCAAGTTAAAAATGCAAAGCATATAGCGTTCTTTAAAATATGCAATGCACAAATGGGTTATTATGCACATATGGTTCCAAAACAGGATTTAATGATTCTGTAATCAGAAACGACAATGGTTAGACAGCTTCAGGGGTCAGCCAAACCTCAAAAAACACATGTACATAAATGCATGCTTACACAGATGTGCAAATGGGTGCGCATGTGTGCAACCTTGGGGAAAGAATATGAATATGAGAGAGAGAGAGAGAGAGACCGTGATATCAGAGGTCCAGAGTGTCAGATTATCTCGGAGAAGTTGCATGATCAATGTGCTGTCCTTGTAAGACTCCTCACCCAATGTATCCAGCTCGGAAATAGCCTCGTCAAAAGCCTGCCCAAATATAGTACTTTTTAGTGATGTCAATAGGACCAAGAAATTGGTCCGTGACTGGTATGCAATTAAAGATATCAACACTAAGGACTGAATAGATCAACTTATGTTTAAGGAAACATCGCTTATCAACTAGGTTTTATATTAATATAGAACAAATTGAGTATAAAAGAACGAACAACTAGCATGAAACAATTACAAAGCAAACTGATTTCACTAAATTGTAATATTATTTAGTAAAGTGAAGAAGGGACAAGAAAGATCTCCATAAATGTACATCAATGAAACATGACAACCCTATGGACCAATACATGGTTACATTTAGGGGAGAAACCAGATGTACTGGCATCAATGCTTCACAAACTAACTAAACCAGGTTTGAGCAAACAATTTACTTAACATTATTGACCCAACAACTATTAAAGCACTCAATACTGTTAGCTTCCACAAGTTAATAGCTAGGATCCAATTCCATGCCAGTTATAAAATTTACAAATTAAAACCAATGAGAGGAATGGAGAGCCAGAAATACGCTCCCAAAAGCGAAGAAAAACACCAATCACTTCCTTTTACTCAAAATAATAATGAAAAGAAAACAGAAGACTATGCTTTTCACAACTTGCCTATAACCATAGAGGCAAAAATGCTACTGTATGCAAGGAAATACCTGCTTGGCAAGATTGCAAGCACGATCAGGAGAGTTAAGGATCTCATAGTAGAAGACAGAGAAGTTAAGAGCAAGCCCCAGCCTTATTGGGTGAGTAGGAGCCAGTTCAGCAAGTGCAATATCCTGCAAAAAACAAAACAAAAGCAAACTAAGCAGAGAAATAATAGTTGCACATATAAAGCTAAATATCACAAACAACATCGACAATTCAAATTTATAAGAATTGGCATCATGCTGGCACAAAAAGGGCCCACCTGAGCAGACTTGTAAGCCAACAAAGTGCTCTCAGCAGCTTCCTTCCTCTCAGCCCCCGTCTTAAACTCAGCAAGATACCTATGGTAATCACCCTTCATCTTGAGGTAAAATACCTTGGACTCAGCAGATGAGGCGGAAGGAATAAGATGCGATTCAAGGAGGTTCAAGATTCCATCACAGATCTTGCTGAGCTCAGCTTCAATCTTGCTCCTGTACTCCTTGATGATTGTGACATGATCTTCATTTCCTCTACTCTCTTCCTTCTGCTCAATTGAAGAGATGATCCTCCAAGAAGCCCTCCTAGCTCCAATGACATTTTTGTAGGCTACAGAGAGCAGGTTCCTTTCCTCCACAGTTAGCTCCTCTGAATCAACTGTCTTTGCAACTTTCTCCATAAACTCCACCATTTCTTCATAACGTTCAGCCTGTTCGGCCAACTTGGCCATGTAAACATTCTCTTCACGTGATGATTCAGTTGGCGACATTTTTATATCAAACTAAAAGCTACTTCTGCAAGGAAGTTCCAAACACGTATCATTAGAATGAGCTGAACAATATCGAACTCTAAGGGCTACATTTAATTACATAACTAGCTTGCACAGATTCATAAATTAACTCTTCCATCAACCACTCAATAACACGTCTCCATCTATTGATTCTTAACTTTTTCATCCGTAAGTTATTAATAATTTACAAAAACTGCAGACCTTTTGCAAGCTTTAGAATGAAATCCCTCAAGCTTCAACCAAGTCAGCTAGAGCCTAGAGACGCTAAGAAAGTTGAAATAACACAAATTCTGAACAACCCCCAAAAAAGAATGGCAAGAATTATCCTTCAAATATCTTTACAACATTAACAAAATCACAGCCCCGGATCAAGTTATGAAATCTGATTTCTACAAGTCATTTAGATAGTCGTTATTGTTTTTACAACAAAAAAAATTAATCCCAAAACCGACCATCTAGAAATGAAATAAATCAAACTCTAATTCCTTAATTTCTCCAACATTTTCTCGTTAATAAAACAGATCAGATTCACACGCACGTAAATGGAAACGGCAACACCATGCCTTAGCATACAAAAAGTTTCATCTTGTAACAATTTCACTTGGAAATTCAGAGTCTTGGCCTCCTAATTAAAAGCACGAATCCAAGCTACCGATCCCATTACTTTCAAAAATATTCTTCGGAAAATTGTAACAATCAACTCTGACCTCATATGCTTTGCTATCTCCAAAATAAAATTAAAAACAAAAAAAATCTCCTGTATTTAGCGAAACCAATCAGTTAAGCGTCATAACACATTAAGATAAAACAAAAGACACCAAAACCAACATTTCCTAAACTTTCTCAGCATCCAAACAAACCACAAAAAAATTAAAAAGCACATAAATCTCAGCAGATCGAATAAAAAACAAACCAAATAAATCCAAACAAATCACAAATAACATAAATCCACAAAATTAAAACCACAGATCTAACCATAAAAACAAAAAAAACAAAAAATGTAACGCTACCTTGAAGAGTGAATTCTGCAGACACGGGTCTATCTCTGTGCGTCAAATGGAAGGGAAGAAACTGCGAGGGAGGGGTATTTTGGGCTTGTTAAAAAGACTGCGAGGGAGGGGTACTTTGGGGTTACAAAAAGAGAGGTCATGAGGTTAGGGGTCCAATGAAAAAGTGACAAGTAATGGGTGGCGGAGATTTCGTGGGAGTTCGTATTTTTCTTTTCGGATTTATTGTTTTTGGGAAGGACACTCTAGCTTTGACCGTCAACGGAGATGGTCTGAACGACTGATCCTCTGTGTGCGTGTGTAGTCGGGAGCCCATAAAGTTTTAGATTCTGTTTTGTTTTATATGTTTTTTAAAAAAATTATTTTTTATTTTAAATTAATATTTTTTAATATTTCTAGATAATTTTAATTTATTAATATTTTAAAATTAAAAAAATATTATTTTAATATATATTTAAATAAAAAATATTTTAAAAAACAATCATAAATAAACTTTTAAAATAAAAAACAGCCTTAGTGTATTGATGATTCGACTGTCTGTGTGTGGTGGGCCTGAGTTTCTTTTTCTTTTCTTTAGGTTGGCTATCACTTCAAGGAAAATGGGGACTTGGAGTTTTGAGATTTTAGGGTTTGCCTTTGCCTCATCAATTATTATCCTGTCAATTCTCTTCTTCCCATTATGCTTCCTACGTCTCTCTAAAACCCAACTTGAATTATAGGTTGGCCGGTCGATCTCAATCGACTTCAACAAAAATATATATTAAAAAAAATTATAATAATGGAGTTCTTATAAGAATAATTAAAAAGAAATCAATGGCTTAATAGCAAAGTCATTACATCAACTGACTTTCTTAACTTAATCAGTTATGCTTTTTTGTCTTTTTTGTTCTTGGGTTGGTTAGTTCTTAATCAACCCAATTATCTGTGTAAATTTTAAAAAATAGTTTGTAATTTTTATAATTAAAAAATAAATTAATCTATTCTTGATTAATCTAATTATCTGTGTAAATTTTAAAAAATAGTTTGTAATTTTTATAATTAAAAAATAAATTAATCTATTCTTGATTAATCTAATTATTTGTCTAAATTTAAAAAATAGTTTGTAATTTTTATAATTAAAAAATAAATTAATTTAGTTCTTAGTCAATCTAATTACTTGTCTAAATTTTAAAAAATAGTTTGTAATTCCCATAATTAAAAAATAAATTAATCAAGTATTTATACTTTTTATAGTAAATAATAATAGGAGGAGGAGGATTCTTGGTAGGTGATGAGTTATGACTCATCTTGATATGCATTTGGTGAAAAGTAATCACTTGCAAATAAATGAAAATTAAATAATTATTTGAAATTAAAAAGATTCTTTGTATAAATACTATAAAATTTCATAGTTATTAGCGTGCTATTCATTCATTGGCAAGGCCTTATCACCATGCCAACAAAGAGTTGTGTCATCGATGCATCATTATGTTTACTTCATGAAAGGGTTTAGGTTCTAGTTTATAACTTCTTTAGATGATGGCCCAAAATTCAATGAACTAAAATTCAATACGTTTATAAATGAGGTTAGTTGGTGTTTTGATAATAGTTAATTAAATGTACATTTTTCTCTGTAGCTCAGGAAATTCAATACCATCAAAACAGGTTTTTTTTTATTTAGGAATTTTTTAGTGATAAAATCAATAACTTTAAATGGATATTATAATAAATTAAAAAAATAACTTGAAAATCTAAGAATAATAATTTTTATTTTTGTTTTTATATGATAAATGCTTAAAATATTAATCTATAAATGCTTGAAAAGTAAAAAGTGTGAACTTTTTATTTTAATAATTCATGGATATTTATAATTCAAGAATTTGTCGTTTTAATAAAGTGGAGGAATTGGAATCATTTGGTCTGATGATATTAATTAGTAATAAAAATCTTTTACATTTTACGGAGTAAATATTTTTTATATATCATTAATAAAATAAAAATAAGATATGTAAAACCTGAGATAAATTGATAAAAAGACTTAAAGAGATAAAAAAAATTATTTAAAAGATAAAAGAAAAGTTTTTGAGTTAGAAAAAAAAAAGAGTTTTAATATATTGTGCTTCTCTTGGGGAAAGAATATAAAAAGAGTTTGCACAAGTTATTTTAGAAAACAAGAAACTTTGATGAGAAAAAAGAGTTATATGAAAAATTTATTAAAATTAGTAGATAATTAAATTCCACTGATGAACATCAATAAATAATGATTAACGATCACAACATGTTAGAAACTACTCAATATACTTATTCATTTTTGCTATATATTCTCATATTCTTCTTCATTTTTAAAGAAACAACAAGTGGTTGCTTTTTCTACTATCGAGCTCTGTATTGAGTAGGAAGTTGTGCTACTTGGAACTACGTGGTAGAGAAAAATGTTTTAGTGAGTCGCAACATTATCAAAACAAGTTAATAAAGATCTTTCATAACAATAAATATACTATTATATTAACAAAGAATCACTTATCTCATGGTCTTAGCAACCATATTAGCATCAAATAGTTTGGTGAAAGATCAAGAAATCATGATTGAGTTTTGTTTGTCCGAAGATCAAGTTGCTAATATTTTTACAAAGTCTCTTATTTGTTTCTTAAAGTTTAAGAAGACGAAGGGGCATGAAGAAATTTGAAGACCTTGGTTTAAGGAAGGGTGTTAAAGAAACATTGGTAAAGTTAGCATCTTCAATCCCAGTTAATAAACATTGATAAAGACGGGGGCATGAAGAACTTGGTTTAAGGAAGGGTGTTAAAGAAACATTGATAAAGTTAGCATCTTCAATCCTAGTTAATAAACACATAACAGAAGAAACCTTCAGCGAGAGATAATGTGACTACAAATCCTAAAGAATGGATGTCACGCTACTGCACTACTAGTCGTTCCAAAATAACCAAAAAATCACCAAAAAGGAAATTTTCCTTTCCAATCCTGATCAAAAGGCTAAAAAGAGTTGACATAACATGGATGCAGAGCATTGAAGAGAGAAATCAATGCTTTGGCAACGACTATGGGGTTTCTATCAACTTAAAGCTGATGTTGGCGTTCTGATCCTTCCAGTCCCTATAATTCCTTGGTGATATTGGCGTTCTGAAAGGAGATGGAGAATCAAGATTGAATTCCCAAGATTGATCTTTAAGGAGCTGCTCGACCATCGCTTCCAGTTGCAAGGGCCTAGGGGGACTCTGAGCATTAAATAGAAATCAGTATTTTGTTTAGATAATTATCAAGGAAAAGTTAGTTTATGAAACAAGAAAGAAAGACCCTAATGAAGAAACGAGGAAAGGGAAAGCAAAGTGACCTTCATTGTAATTGATGCCAGCGGTGAACATGGAGTTGCCAACTGCTTGGAAAAATCTGGACAAAATAATAAATATGATTTGAATTTTACGAGGAAAGATTCTGCAGTGACTATAAACAGAAGAATGTTAAGTTCCCATTACCATCTTTTAGTCCAATTGATTGCTGAAATTCATTGATGTCCATAGCTCTTGTCTGTGCTTTGATGCATTCCTGATGATTGTGCAGAAACCTTTCCTCTGCAATTGCACTGGTTTGATCTGGTTCCTCTGTCAAGACAGCTAGCTTCTTTGCATTGAAACTCTGCTTTTTTGTTTCTGGCTTCCTTGAATTAGAAATGTCGGAAAGTGGTTTTCTGCCAGCAGTTTGCCATTTCCCTGGTGCCTTGGAGATACTTTTCATCTTGCTTGCGTCATGTGGAATTCGAGAGGCAACAGCCTTCATTGAATTTGACAAATCACCGAGAGGTGTCCGTCTACTCACTAGTGATGCCATTGGTGCTGTAAATGAGTTCAAAGAAATATTCTGCAAAAGCATTGGAACTGGTTAATACCCTAGATAAACCATGTAAAATAAGGAAAGGATGACCGCATTATACCATAAATTCAGTTTCAGAAAGTAACCAAGAAAAAAAGTTACCCCCAAGAGCACAAACCCCACACAAAGCAAGTCAGAACAAACCAGCTAAACTCTAGGACAAATACTCCCATAACATTTCCTGAAATTCTTAGAATCTCCATAGCTATACCAAGCATGGTATATGTAAATCATTGTAACTGAATAATCAATAAGATAAAACATACACTACTTGTCAAGAAGATGGACGAATTCGTGAAACCAATTCAACATCTGGTGTAACAGTGGCATTGATCACAAATCATACTTTCGTTATTTTGAATCCTCTATCAAACAGAATAGCATGAAATAGGAGATCATGCGATCTACTAGAGATTTGGGATTACACATCTAGCAACAACAATGAGTATTAATACAAGCGAAAATGAAAGTAGATTGTGAAAGCAAGATTTGCCAAAATCTAAAGACATGAACAAGCAATCCATTCAAGGAAGGGAATAAAGAAAAAAGAATCAAACCTTGTTAAAAGTTTAGAAGCAGCAATCTGTCAAATATTTGTTGAAACTGATTATCCTCTGATTCCCTTTCAAATATTAGTTAAAACTGATTAGTCTCTACAAACAGATTAATCACAGTAAAACATAATAGATTACAAGACCCGTCAACTTAAAAGACTCATTGTCCTAACCCCATGTTTAAAATACAGATATTCTGCTGAAAATGAAATTAAGTGCACGAAGCAAACCAAAACCAGATCACCCCGTGTTTAAAACACAGATATCATGCTGAAAATAAAATCAAGTGCACCAAGCAACCCAAAACCAGATCACTAGATTTTTACATAACAATAGAAAAATCAGCAGAATCACGTGTATTTATGATTGAAGTAAAGATCGATCATAAACACAATGCACGCATACGGAGAAGGAGAAAGTTGTTTGTTTGCTGAGAAAACAGAGAAGATTTACTTCTAAGAAAACAGAGAATTAAAATCTCTACTTCACACACAAATAAAAAATCATAGAGAACAAATTTAGACCGGATTATAAAAACACGCAGCAAATCTAATAACTTGATAAATTCGAGAATAACTAGAGAATCACTACCAAGAAAGTATTCATCTAAGATGATAAGGTAAAAAACAACTAGGGTTGTTCGAAGGTAAATACAAGAAAACCAAATCGATTTCAAGAATTTAAAACGCTATTCAAAGTATTAGAAAGTGAAATTAGATCTGAGAAACTTACTTTGAGGCCACTGATCGATGATAGGCTTTTGATCTCTGAATGTTTTTGTTTTAGATGCGCAGAGAGATTTTTTTTCAGAGAGAGAGGGGCTGTGTGTGAAAAGGAAGGGGAGGGAGGGAGATGACCGTTGCTTTTATAGCGAGAGGGCTCTTGAATTTCGAAGAAAAATATGACCGTTGGAAAGACAAGTTTGGGTTTCCGCTGCTTCGTACTAAACGTCAGCGTTTTCGATTGATTAAATTGAAGTCACAACGGTAAACCCTTTGTTTGCAAATATTTTTTTATTTTTTTATCATGGAATGATGCAACTTTATTAACCACAAAAAAATGCAAAATACAAAATATTTTCATAACATTGTTTATCTATCTATAAATAAATATCAATCTGGAGAATCAAAACGGATAATCTAATCTTTTCTGTCGAGGATTTTTAAAAATAAAATTATTGATGCAGAAAAACCTCAATTTACCAACTTTTTTCTTGTTTTTAAAATAAATAAAAAATTCTAAAATAATGATATTATAAATAATTTTTTTTTAATAAAATTTATCATGTTTGAAAATAGAATAATAATTATTTTTTAAAGTACTTTTAATTTAAAAATGTATTAAAATAATATTTTTTATTTTTAAAAAATTGCTTTTTATCAATAAATCAAAAACAATTTGAAAATATAAAATAATTAATTTTAAATAAAATTTAATTTTCTTCAAAATTTAGCTAACCCTATTAAAACGCAATATATAAAAGAGAGCTAAAAGAAACCCCAACGCTATCTAGGGGTCGACTAGGCTGGGTTTCAAGGCACCCATAACCATTATAACCAGCCGAAAGAGCAACAAAACCCCCGAAGCCGTGGAAGGGAGCATGTCAGGTCAAGCAACTAAGAAAGCCTGTGATCCCCAAGAACATTCAAATGCCTTGACATACTCCACTCTATTTCCGGTTCCAATTCATGTGCCAAACAGCTCCTCGAAATACTCAGCATGGTGCGGCCACTTGCCCCTTAATAGAATCAGGCAGGCACAAAGCACACAAAGGACCCCAAATAGCATACAGACCTTACAAAAATTGAAACTCTCAACTTGAAACGAAATTTCCGATCAGTGGGTACAAAAAAATGAATGCTTGCTAATATGGACGATAAGCATACCGCTAAGTAAAAGTTCATTCTCCATCAAAATTCCATGAGATGAATGGAGATTCCCTCTAACACAATCCTACAAACACAACCATCCTCCATTGCATATAGGCACAAACGGTTTTGTTACACATCCAATCAGCACAACATCCCCACGAGGAAAAAATTTTAAAAAATAAAATAAAAATGCAGGAGCATATCCATGACTAATTTGGCTTCCTCATATTACGCCCGGCGCGAATGACTTCATCCACCAGTAGCAATTGTGATGTGATCACAGGCCTGGAAAATTACAGCAGCGTGATTATAACTAGGTTAGGCATGTTAAGAGTTCAAACCTGAGAGAACTTCAACAGGTTTCTCTAGTTTAAACATCTAGGGGAAGTTTGGAAAACGTATCTCTTTATATGTACATTTATGTAGTATAACAAAAGCTGGACCGAGGGAAAAGAGATAGGGAGAGAGAAAAGGACAGACTCCAAAGCTAGGAGTTCATGTGTACCCTGAGTTTATGAGTTGGCGCTTGACAGAGTAGTTGTCGAAGATACCCTCCATTTGAGGATCAAGAGGCCCTCCTGTTTGGAGATTTATTCCAACAATGTTATCCCTGTCATGCTCTCCCTGAATAAACATGCAAGAAAAGCTTAAGTCAGTTTCTTTTCTTGTGTCTTTTGCTCCCCCAGGAAAAAAAGGATGATGGATGGATTCCAATGATGGTTACCGTGAGAGTCACAATCTCATCTTGAGTGTCTAACCCAGAATTCTCAGCCAGAGTTTTGGGCACCATGAGAAGGGCATCAGCAAAAGCTTCAACACCTAGTTGAGCACGCTGTTCCACATTTGCAAACACCAGTTTAAAATTAACCAGGGGATAGGAATAATTACTCAAATATAGAAAACAGACAGGCATTTACCCCTTTAACTGTTTTCTTTACTTCATTGATCAGGTGTTTTCTGGCTGCAAGTTCAAAAGCTCCTGCTCCCTGAAGAAAATAAATGACAACATTTGAGTGGGAAAGAAATTTCAGCACTGAATCAAGTCATCGACAAATGGTTGCTTATTTGCAGAATTATATGATAAGAATTACAACAGAAAACATGTCAATACTCTATATCTCACCCAATCCCAAGAGGCCAATCTCAACTTTCAAGTCAATTATTTTCATCCTATAATCCAATACATTGATGTCCACAGCTCCACCATACACAAATTTCATCCTAATCAGCATTCATGCAAATTAGATTTTAAGTTTATTTGATTGAAACCACTCTTGGTTCATAATAATGTTGGTTTTTGACTGTGTCCTAAACTGCCAGTACATACAAGAAACAGATTTTTCATGAAGCACACTTCATTTGAGCAGAAACATAACTTGCATATACATGAACCACATTTTAGATGTACCACAGAACTTCCAAAGCCACCATCAAAGGCCACAAGCACGGCTTTACATAAATCAATATGCAACAATTTAATCAAGCATGATTGCACATACAAATGTCACAGATTTCTGCAAGCAGAACTTACAAGTACCACAGCTTCATCTTCAATAGTATTTTTTACTGCTCTCAAGCCATCACGGACAGCATCCTTTATTTGGGCAATTGTATGGTCATTAGGTCCTGTGACAATAAAAAAGTTGAGTGATGATTCGCCCCTGCTAAATTACAAAATTGCAAGACGAATATACATTTCATGCTAGAAAATAAAAGAGTACATACTTCAACCTCATGGCTAAATGGCCTTAAAGAAGCAATTAAAACAAACAAGAAAAAATCATCTGATAGCATTTAGAACAAATAAAAAAGAAAATCGTAAACATTTATACAAGTTTGCTGAGGATGCATACACGCTTCTATACCTTTTATTAAGATAGTGCAAGAATGGGGGTTTTTAACATTTTCAACAAATGTATACTTCTCTTCGCCAAGGACGTGCTCATAAACCAGTCCAGCCCAACCAAGGCAATCAGGAGTTAAACTATCAACAGAATTCAAAGCCTCTCCTCCACATGCTAAAACCAGGCGTTCCATATTTCTCCTCTTAGCTCTTCGAAGGGCAATTATCTGTAAAACATAAGAAAGCAGATCAAATAACAACATCAGGACAAGCAGGTACACTAACCAGATTTCAAACTAGCAATAGTCATCGTACATATATCATTAGGTGCCATATAAAAAGGAATCTAATCCAAGACAAAGCATTCAAAAAGCCAAGTCTTGCTTGTAATCATCCAAAACTAGAGTCACATACAATGGCAGGTATTCTAGCCATATTTACAATCTAAACTATAATGAAAAACCATTTCAAGTCTCCATTCCTGCATCCATAATTTCACAAAATCAAGAGAATTACAAAAGTAGCAAGTGGTCCACGTACCTCCATTAAATTAAGCCTTCTTGCTTAGTTGCTTTTAATAATTATTTCATTGAGCATAAGGCATGATTTCACAAAATTAAAAATAAAACATGAGGTGGAAGGCTTCCAAAATGTGCAACCAATTGTTATCACAAACAATCATTAACTTGTGAAATCTGTATCTACTAAATCTTGAGGTTCAAAATCAATCTAACATGGTGTTTGCATGTTCGTTACAGGGTTAAGAAAAGAGGATGTATTGTCACAAAAGCAATTGGTAAAGGTATAACAATGTTTGGTAAAGCTTACAGTAGATACAATGGAAATTACATGAAGAAAAAATAAAACAATATGCTTCATAAGGTGCAAGTAAACAGTAAAAGATAGAAAATGTGATTTATAAATTTGAGGAAGAAGAAAGGCGGAAAGTCGAACCCAACCACCCTCCACCCTAGTTCAAAGCCTTTTCCTTCTTGTCACAAGGTTTATAATTACACCCTCCTGGAGGGTAGCTAATAATCCCTGAATCATCCCCCCTCTCATAATATTTCCAACAAACAAAATTGATCATTGTAGTAACATTTAATCCCTAATCATGCCATACACCATAAGAGAAAACAGAATGAAAGACAACACCCAATACTAACACATAAACATGATTTGCAGCAAGCTGATGCAAGTTTATTGCATCAAGTAGCTAATTATTGCTCGCCTTCAATCTCTAGGGAACAGAATATAATTGTTCCATGACTTACCCCTGCTCGTGCAAGAAGATCCAATGATGGAGGATCAATTCCCTTTTGATTAATAACCACAAAATTGTTGTCTGTACCAGAACAAACCTGGAAGACCAAAAGTACAAGCAACACTTCAGAAACCAACATGTTGGCAGGGACAGTAACATGAACATAAAATGTATTGAATGTGTAACTTAACCTTATCTTTTAGTTCAATAATTTTTCTAACTCTTTCATCAACCTGGCGCCTTTCAGCTGCAACCATTGCCTCCCTCTGCTCTGCATTTGAGTAGAAAAATCCTGCATTTATTTCACTGTGGAAAAAAAAATATTAGGTTCCAATGAACTGAAACAGACCACAGCTCTATCTACAGAGTTCTTGATAGCTCATATCAACATCAATTCCAATCAAATTGAAGTTGACAAGATGTATACCTTTTCTCATATTCCAAAGAGACATTGCATGTCAAGATAAAACAGTTTTCTGCCCGTCTTTTCATATCAGGATGCCTGGAACCATGATCAAGAACAAGACCTTCAACCTGGAAGACAGAACAAGTAAATACTGGGACAAAAAGTTTTTAAAAAAGTAGAGAAGTTATCTTCCAAAGACAAAATCAGTGTTGTCAGAGGCAAAAGGCACCAAGCCTGTAAAATGCCCTAGGCGCTCGCCTAAATGAACCAAGGCAATATGCTATAAATTTTATATATATATATATATATGTCTTCCCAATTAAGATTAGATCATTAGAAAATCAAAAGAAAATATAAAATACCATAACATAGTCATATAAAGTTATATTTCACCCTTGAAACAAAATAAGATAATTTAAAGTAGTAAGTAGCCAAATAGATTAAAAAACAAAATTAAAAATCATCATC